GATGGAAGAACGTATATATTCGCCTATCGCCCAGCAGTGGCACCTGCGAAAGTGGCAAGGCCGAAGGAGGTCAGGGAGGCGGAAGGAGCCTCAGAGGGCCTCACCTGAACTTGGCGAGAGCTCAACTGGTCGCAGGCGCTGCCTACATCCAGGAAGTAGAGCTTGGAAATGCGAGTGGATAGGGGGCCATTGGCGGCATGAGGAATCGAGGAAGTTCGTGGCACGCCATATATACGTCGTGTAGGCAGGAGAATCGGGGTATTACCGAGCAGAGACCGAGAGGCCGAGCTCCGAGAGACCAGAGACCAGGGACCTGGGGCAAGTGTGAATAGAACGATTTATTGGTTTATTAGTGATTCCAGTCGTATCAACGGCTAAGGTCAATAGTCCTGTACGTGCAGTACATGTTTTCATCGAGGTGGCAGCGATCTTCCTCCGCTGGATGGCGAGATCCGGTGCCGACCTATCGTCCGGCAGCGGGGTTTTTTCCCAACCAGCTATCTCCCACCAGGGAGGCACCGCCCCAGCCGAGCCAATTTATAATCCCCCGACAAGTGTGATAGTGAAGGGCATGTGAGTGTAAGTATGTGCAAATAAGGCGTGAGGATAGGAAAAGGAAGAGGAAGGAAAGATCGCGCCCGGTGCGAAGCCCGTTTGTTAGGGAACGTCTCCGGCATTCGCTGGGTGTTGATCAGAGAAACCACGGAAAACTACCGACCAGAGCAGCCGGCCGCTAGACAGCGGCAGAATTCGACCTAGCAAAGTAGTGTCGAAAATCCTGCCACCGTCGAAGCTCGAACCTCGGCTCCCGGTCAGTGACATTCATTGACGCCATGAGCCACCTCTCCGTGTGAATGGAACGACCGAGTGTTGGGCAGGCGGAGGGGCTGAGGTGTGCGCGGAGCCGAGAGAGCTACCGACCGAAGATGGGCCGCTGCCAACCGCCAGCGGCGGGGTGGGGCGGGGCGGGCGGGGCGGGGCGGGGTAGGGGCGCCGGCCCGGTCGCTAAGTGTACGCGGCTGCTGCGTTTATCGCCGCCGCGATAACGAAGGCGCGCCGCGGGATAAAAGCGGCGAGCGGCGGCGCGGCGCATTTTCGTCTCGCCATGGCCCCGAAGCCTCCGCTGGCGGCGGTGCTGCTCCTGGTGGCGGCGGCGGCGGTGCGCGCCGGCCCCATCGCCTCGGCGCACCAGCGCGCGCTCCAGCGCCTCGCGCGGGAGCTACACCTCGAGCGGTGAGTGCCGCGCTCGGATTTCAAAATGGAGGCGAAATCCACATTCTTTTGTTGTCGACATTACAGATTTTGTAAAATGTCGAACGCTTCACTCAGTTCAAGCTGAGGTACTACTTTATTCGTTTTATTATCCGAAAATATTTTTGCTTGAAACTTTCGCGACAAGTCAAAATTAATCTTTATTCAAAACGTTTAGGGGGATATTTCCCTCGCCGTGGATCCGCGCTTGGCACGTGCCACTGATGCTGATTCAGAGGCGATATCCAGCCGATCATTTTGAAGGGGGCCAACGTAGATTTTTGTTAAATAATAAACATATTTTTTATTATTCTGTATTATGTATGTTCTGTAGATATGATACAATACAACACTAGTATTATGTTTTAAATAATTCCATAATTCGAACATAAATATTTAAATCAATTTTGCGAAATATAGGAAAGTCAATGAAAACTCTAATGCTGGGGAGGGGGGAGCAAGGACACTGGATCCGCCAGTGTGCTGATGTTGTCAAATCATCAATGTTTCGATAAAACAATCGATGTATTGCAGCTGATTTGTTTCGCAACGGTGTTTTGTGTTCGATGTTTTGTTCGTGCATGAAAAATTCCCACAATCCCAATTTTGCAAAAATTCAAATATGAAATAACTGATGTTGATGTCACTGCCAGTTGATGTTTTCAAATCAAACGAACGCCGTTTGTCCTTCAAGGAGCAGGCTTATCTTCCGCACAAGATGATCCTGATGCTTTGATAGTTCCTTCGTCTTTTAGCAAATGGAGAGGCGTTATTAACAATGACTTCTGTTCACTTTTAATATTATAAATTAACATTCAAGGCCACTGTCAAATTAAATTTTGTTGAGCACGAATTTAATGTTCGAAGTTACTAATCGAGCTTTAAAACATTTTTTTTAAATTTTGAACAACTGTTTGTCAAACCGATATTTTGTTATCGATGGCGCATCACTAGCGGTGAGTTGTGTCGCGGACACGGCCGACAGTTAAGTAGCTTACATTCATTTGGACACCAAAATTTTGAAGTAGTAGTTTGTTATATATAATTGTCACCACCCTGTGACCTTTTTTAGACCCCATTCCGCTTGGAAATACGTTCCGCAACAGTAAAGAATTCCAAGTTGTGACCATGTTACTGAGCAACAAATGTATTTCAATAAAGAAATTTGTCATCACGACCGAGCAGGGTGACACATTTGTAGAACAAATTTAATTATTAAAGCAGTCTTTTAAGTTTAACCTTTGGGAGGATCTTTTTTACTCAGTAATTTTGACCTTTGGCTTAGGCGGATCAGGACGTCCTTGGCCTCTGAAATTGTCCAGAGGCGTTCTCTAGCCTTAGCTACTAAAATATGTCATTGATGTATATATGTCAGACCCCTGATTTCTCACATTTTCAACCCGACATTTCTGAGAATATTTATACGACGCGGGGTGTGGAACAAGTTCTCAAAGCCATCTGGCAATATGAAAATGTCTTAATATAAAATTAATTGTATTTAGTTGCATATGTTTAAATTTATAATTTCATTTTACTTGTATGTTATATTTTCTTGTAAGCAAAGTATGTCATATGTAAAATTGATTTAAAAAAATAGAAGGACCCCCGGAAATGTTCTTTGGATCCTCCTGTTTTAGGCTGCTCATTATTATAACGTTCGTTTGCGCTGATAATAGATAGAGTATAAACACTAAGCAGCTTTAGATACTAATTTTGACGGGATTATTTCACACGCAAGATACGACATATGTGCTTTCTATTTTCTGTATTATTTTTTGCGGATTTGGCCGCAAGCAGAGATCGCGAACTTGGGAATAATAGGCTACCAATTGCGCCATCGCTGCCGTGTGATGTGAGGCAATTTCGATGATCCGTTACGTTGGTTGGTTGTAAAGTTTCCACTGAGGAGGTTATTAGACTTGAAAATCGCGTAGATGAAGATGAATAAAAAAGTACGTACGAATAAATCATTCATTTTATATTTAATTATAAGTCAATATAATACTTCAATCTCATAAACGATGTTTCTCATTAATACTGGTAAAACAAACACCTGAATTTGATTAACATGCTAATGGGACTGTTTTCTTCCGGACGTTGAAGCCGGGGTACGCTTCACCTACATAAGCGCATATACACCACACGTGTAAAGGTAGCGCCTCAATGCCATACGCATAGTTAGCTTTCGGCAGCAGCTCCACAAATGAACTTTGGGCTGAAAAAGGTTTGAGATTAAACTGACAGAGACATATTTGAGCAATACTTTATCGAACCCAGTTTTGAAATGATGTTGACAATGATGTTGACAATTTTTATTTCCAACGAGATTTGATTTTCGTACGATTTATTTAAGGATATTTTTAGTCTGCAAACGTAAAAAAAATCATTATTCTTGCTGCTCTTTTTGGCCTATTTGTTTTTTTTTAAATTCTAAAATGAATTTAAATTCAGTAAAATAAATTTATTATTAATTGAGATCATAAAAAAATACACGTTGCATGACTTTCCCTGATGAAGTTTTAATAGAAGCAGAAACGTTTGCGATTTTATTCGATCTATTACGATCCAAGTATAACGTAATTCACAACACTATTTCACTAACATTTGCAACTGCCAAAATACCTGTATGTAGCCTGTATGAAGATGATTACACACCCCTATAAACCTACGGCAGAGTTTCTCCCTTTGTGTGTTTATTTAAGTGTATTAAAAGACCTTTGATTGCATCGCATGAGCATTCTTTCACGCGAAAATTATACATTTTATTTTAAGAAAACGCTATCGCAATGAAAGTTGGTCCCGAATGAAGGCCTTGCAACTCTTATTTCGCCAAGTTTTATTAAAAAATATCATGATCTTAAAGGAAACGACAGGGGAAAATTTCAACTTTGTCAAAATGAACGTGTAAGTCGTAAGTTTACAGAACAAAGTATCAACTTTATAAATAAAGAAGAAATACATCGCTAATTTATTCAATGAACGTGGAAAAATTTTCCTGCATTATCTTTTTACTTAACAGTTCAGTATCTTTTACTTTTTTTATTTTAAGAAATTTGTTCGTTATGACGCAATAGTAAAGCAACTTGCCACATTAAGTACATATTTTCTGTGATCTATACAGTTACTTCATTACAAAACGCACGCTCTTTATTTCTTAAAAATACTTTAAAATAAGTTATTATACCTTTTTCAATACAAATATACCAACTGTATAGGCTTCATCTTTTCTTAGCGTAGTTTAGTAAACGTAAGTTATCTATCCAAAGTAAATCTGCATTGTCAAGATAGTCTCTTCTTACGGATATTTATAGCACTGAATGTTTACTGAAAAATACAACTTTCTTTGAAAATCTCTCATTCATTTTGAATTAAACATTTTCAATTTTCATTTTTTTTTCTAGAATTTAACTCCTATTTTTTTTTTAATGTATTGCAGTAATTAGATAATGCCACAGTAAACAAAAAATGAAGGACATTTTTCTCAAGTTTCGGTCTAGTACAATTATTAGTTCTTCGTATTTTCGACAATCAAATTACATTATTTTTTATTTAACAAATTCTTTACTAAAACAATTCTTTAATTTTATTAAAATAAAATATTGCAACACAACAAAATATTGAAAACGATGTTCATGGACACGTGACATGATGATGATGATGATATGGAATAAAAATCCAAATCCATATGCAGTCGAAATTGTTTGGCACTAGTGTTTTACGAAATGTAATTACCAATCTTATGTTTATAGGTTCGAAGAAGCTGTATTGCCACATTTTGGAAGACAGCGCAGGGATATTATAGTCGAAAACCCAGAGTAAGTGTCAGGAATCATCTTGTAATGTAAAAGTAACCACATGAACGTGGATTCTGAACTCTCGTACGTACTTTAATACTGGTTTAAAGAGTCATTCATTTTTTCCGAAATGATCTTCGAATCTCGTCATTAAACACTTTCCCATGGCAATGTACACTTTAGTTACTTTGGGTTTGCTGATTTTCGTTCTAACCAGTAAACAATATCAGAGACCTTTGTAATATTCGATTAAGCCGATTCAATTGCAACGCAAATATTGCGATGATGATACTTTCTTTCTCTTATTCTTTCTTTAGAAACTCTTGACTTATTTTTCAGTATTTTAAAGGCAAGAATTAATGAATATGTTGACAAATAAAACGACATGCTGTTTACAAATAAACATTGATTCATTAGAGCCCGTTGGGATACCATTAAAATATATGTAATTTCTTTTATCTTGCATTTAGCATAATATTAATCTTAACAAATCTGGGGATATAGTAAACTGCAGTTTCTATTCGAAGAGGAAGAATATGAAGAAGAAAGGAAACCTTTCCTGTCTGAAATCTCATATTCAGCACTTCTTGTGGTCAATTTTTTACATTGTATAAAGATAGAATCCTAATGTCCAGATTCGAATCATCATTTCTGAAAAGTAACTGGATATTTCTAGGTAAATGCTCGAAGGACGCATTGTATTGTCCATGTATTCAAGAGTCACTTTAAATAATTAGTAGGTAGAACTCATGTACAACGTGTACAAGAATTCTATTTAGCCTGTACATGCAACAGCTCATTCGATTTCTGATGGTAACATTTTGCAAACTAGAACATACACACGAGGGCGTTATGTTCCAGGGCCCAACCAGAAGAGCTGGCGCTGCCCGACAATCAAGCTGCTCCCGTGGCCCCTGCTGGCGGTGTAATATTAACAGGTGGAGTCAGGCGTACGGACAGCAGCAGCAGCGACGATGACAGTGACAGCAGTGACGACAACCGACACACTCACCGCCGCAACGTACGTTCAGCAACGGGCACGGGCGACAACCACGAACATGGCACGCATGCACACCACGACCATGGCGCTGGCCATGTTCACTCCAGTGAGAGTGACAGCCATAGTCACGAAGCCGGAGCAGCCGCCCGAGCCCGCCGCTCTACTGACACAGCGGCTGCCGGCCACGCACATGGTACGCATGCACATCACGACCATGGAGAAGGCCATGTTCACTCCAGTGAGAGTGACAGCCATAGTAACGAAGCCGGAGCAGCTCCCCGAACCCGCCGCTCTACTGACACAGCGGCTGCCGACCACGCACATGGCACGCATGCACACCACGACCATGGCGAAGGCCATGTTCACTCCAGTGAGAGTGACAGCCATAGCCACGAAGCCGGTGCGCGTGCGGCACGAGCTCGCCGGACCATCGCCACCGGTGCCGCTGCGTAAGTATGCGCGTGGCGAAGTTATCAATCGAACATACACGCCAGGCAATGGGGAAAGCTTTATGATCAATTGGGGATTTCACTTGTTCGGGGGCAGCCTTAAACTGCGGTTTGTTTCTCTTACATACATTGCCTTCGTTCATAATTCGGATCAAGACTTCATTTATTTGTGCAAGGTTACTAACACATGTACATCCGAACATTAAGACTCCCTCATTGGTAATTTATTTTTGATACGATATTGGTGCAAAACATGGAAATCTCAGGGCTAAATTTTGTTTTGACTTAAATTTTTATCTAATGGATTTATTGTTTTAGATCACGGAATCAGTCTATTATAAAGATCGTTGTTCTTGTGGGCACTAAAGTTTATTGAATGCAATTATTATTTGTTCTCAAACATAACTTTGTGAAAACAAAGAGAGGGATAAGTAGAGAAAAGTCTCTAACTGAGAAATTGAACATTCAATAGGAAGTCAACATGATGATAACGCTAATTTTAATACGAGGAAACAACATACAAAACAATATGCTCATTAGATTTGAATTACAATTGGGGCAGACCGTTCCCCAAACACCAGTTGTCTATGGCCTCTAACCCTCCGAGAAGATATTTCGATTTTGAGGCCACTGCTCTCAGAGTCGCCGTCGTTAGTTGTTCCGTGCGCAAGCAACACCCAATGAGGCGAAGATGTAAAAACTAAAATCAGACTGATACGAGAGTGAATTATCGCGGCCGTTGAATCGACCACGTCTTGAGCCAAGACGTTGGGAAGAATGCCAGAATTGCTAGGATCACACTCCGCAGAATGAAATGACAGAAGGAACGAAATAGCAGTGTTGTAAAAAGAGAATGTGGAGGTTCATTCTTTCGTGTAGGTATCCTCTTTCTCTTGAACTCATGAATGGGAAAGGTATTGCACCTGCTGAATTAAAATTATTTATTCGAATTATTTTCAAAATTTCCATCGAAACAAGTGAGTGCAGAAGGTGTTTTTCTTCGTTAGCGCAAACCGCAATAGATGTTATTAAACGATATTAAAGTTGTTTTCATCGTTTAAACTTTCTACTAAAAAAGATACGTGCTGGGAGATAACATTTATGCAAAAGCAAAACAGAACCCTAAGTCGGGGGGCAGTGAACTTTGTTTCATTTAAACTACGTTCATAAAGTGTTGTTAATCTAGTTTTCCTTATCGGTGGTTGTTTATGTACTTTCACAAGTACGATAACCACATTGATGATACTAATAATACATTAATCTTACAAAAAAGTATATTCCTTGGAAGTTTTACAAAAGAAAGTCAATGTTAATTCTTCGAATATTTCAGAATTTATCGGAAACCGATGCTTTGCACAAAAGTGTTGCCTACACGTTAAAGGGAGTTTTCCCAATAGATCGGAAAACATAGATAAGGCGACATTCGTTAGGGTGGGCAACTCGGATGCAAGCAAACCGATGGATAAGAAAAATAGTTCGTGTTATTGGCCGTATATGTTAAATATTGACGACTCACTGAAGAATTTCTATGGGTACTTGCCGATAGATTTCTTGACATAAAAATTATTCCCACACTTTATATCAACAAAACATGAAGTTGATTGCACATGATGTTGTGCTGTGGATTAATTAACTACAATTCTAACGTTTGGAATTTTGAATTCAAATTTGTTCCTACGAAGTTGTGGAAACAGAAATAACTACGAAGTCTGAGAAAAGAATAACATTACTAGTATCCTGCGTGTATTATAAACATACTGAAATGGACCTTTTCTTTGGTAACAATTTTTTCATGTGAAAACGTGTTTCTTGTTTTTTTACACCTAGAAGTTATCATGTTGACACGACTCACCATGATATTGATACCACTGGTTTGCAAAGATTCTCCTACACGCTGATTGAATTTTGCACGCTAATTCTCCAAATTTCACTTTTTCCACGTACCACCTAACACAACCCGTGCAGAGCAATGAGACGGAAAATCAAGGCCTGTGGCATGAGCCTGACATTTTTTGCTTTATTTTTAGTTGCATCGACGACTGGGTCATGGAGGATTTTATTTCCATTTTATAGTTGTAATCAGAGGCGGCTGGTGCTAAAAAAGACAGGATTGCAACATCATCGAATGATGGAAATGTAATTTAGATACTAGCTTTATCTAATATTCTGCAATACTGCTAACTGCAAAAGTGTTTTTTTTTTTGTGGGTTCCAGAAGATTCATGATTCTTCTATCGTTAAAATATGTGATTTAAGCATAACTAATAGAATAGACTTGTTATGTTAAATCATGTTGCTTTAAAGTTAAAACCCAATTTTTGTGCACGTAACAATCAGAGAAAGCAAAGCATGCTGTCTTCAATTCACTCTCATACAGTCACCTGTACTTACTATTGAAAATAATTCTTGAATTTCTGATTCATATTCTTTTTTCTGATTTTGCATAAAATTTGAAGACTGGGAATAAGTTTTCTAGGTATCTTAATTTGTTTATTTTCAATAGACCACGATCCAACAAGAATTTTTATTATTTTTGTCATTGAATGCATGTCTAATACCGGGGAAAAAGTATTTCAGTTGCCCACGGAGAAAAATGTCCTATCCTCACACACATTAACGTGCACTACACTACCACTCATGCCGAGAGCCCGGTCGGGAGCTTAGAACCTGCCCTGGCTGGGGCGGTGCCCCGCTGGTGGGAGATACCTGGTTACGGAAAACGCCGTTAGCTCATGGTCGGTTAGCATCGGATGTCGCCATCCAGCGGGGGAAAACCACAGCGACCTCCCGAGCAGAAATATGCACTACTCTTACGGCCGCTTCGCAATGTTAAAGATCCGTAGGGCAGTGACGTCATACTGGTGCGTTGGCTGACTTGCCACTAGTCGCAAAGCCGTACGCTTTGAAGCGCCCTTTGATTTGATCCTCATCAACAAATGGGTCGTTTTTCTTGTTTCATAGTCCGAAATTTACGGTACCTTCCAAGAGGACAAGTCTGCGTGCAAATTTCTTAGGAGCTACTATTATTGAAACATCGATTGCTACCCCTCGGAATGCGGGGACCTCTGGCCAAGTTGTGTTACCTCGCATATTGTCCATGACCGCTAAGGACGTGTCCTTCATCCTCGTATCATTCGGCACCTAAGAAGACTCCTGCTTGGAAATGGTGATCTCAAAAATCCTCCCAAGGCGGCATGGAGGGACGTACGTGATTCTACCTAATCCACACTAACATTACATGATCATAATTCAGGGAATTAATAGATGTTTTAAGTGTAGTGGTAAATATCATCAAAGCACAGACTACCAAACACCGTCCGTTCAGGGGATGTGAAACCTCCCTGCCCCAAGCAGGAAGCCCTTGCCTTACTAAAGCTTGTAATAGTAGTAGTAATAATAATAATAATAATAATAATAATAATAATAATAATAATAATAATAATAATGTAGGGAACACGAGTTCTTCTAGTTGGGGCTCGTCATCTGGAACGTCCTCCAAAGACGCGCTGTCATGCAGAGAAGGGCGCGATTTTGCCTTCCCTACTTCATTTCCCCGTCGCAACGCAGGGCATCGTCCCGCGAAGGGCGCGCGGGCGGCCGGTGGCGTGGCGTGGCGTGGCGCGGCGTGGCGTGCGCGGGCGTGACGCATGCGCAATCCGGCCGGCGCCTGCTGCGACCGCCGCGCGCCGCGCAAGGGCGGCCGGCCCCCGGAGGTCAGGGCGCGGCGCCGATAAGCGCCGAGGGAGGGGCGATGGCCGGCTCGCGAAGGTCCGCAGTCCGAAACCCCCGGCCGCCGTGTTTATCTCCCGCCTTTCGCCGTGCACTCGATGCGATTGACGCGGGTTGCAGTGGCGCCGCCGGCGGCGGTTGCGTCGGCGCGCGAAAAGGAAGCGCTGACGCACGAAAGATCCTACTGTTGGTTTGCCGATTGTTGGGTGAGTTCAGTGAATATGATAGGGTTTCGAGGTAGGGAATCGGTAAAGTTTTGGCTCTCCGGATGATGTCATTTCTTGGACGGTCTTGCCAACGCTTAGGTCGCCATATTGGAGGTTTACTGGGTTGTAGGGTATATTCCCCGAAACGGTGGCAACTTTGCCCAACACACGGCATCTCTGTTACACAGAAGATTTAAATAATTAAATAATTAACGTAACTCTTCGAAATCTACAGCCTAGCTACTCCGGTCCTGTAAAAAACTGTTCGAAGAGTGAACAGGGGAAAAACCTTTTGCTACTTGTTGTGAGAGATTAGGCACAACGGAAGAATCTGTACACTTCTCATTGTTTTTCATCTCTTTATATTATCTAACTTCATTGGAGATACAGTACCCATCCCAATTCCTCTTTCAAAAACCTACATTTACATTTACACGTAGATCTGTCTCTACGTTTCTTGAGAAAGCAAAATCTACCATTGTCGGCTGTGCTACTGACCGGTCGGGGACGGACACGAATGCTCCATTAAACCACCCACAGACCTGCTTTTTTTCGGGGCATGGCGTGACAAAGACGTGATTTATGTGGAACGAGATAAATCAAAATGCGGAAGGGCAGTTTGGTTGATGAAGAGTTACTAGGTCAACACGCCTGAAAAAAATCTAAAATAATGATTCTGTTAACATGATTGCGAATTGTGGAATTAATTTGAAGTAGAGTTAGATGGATTTTAGTAAACAAACTTTAATTTATTTATAATTTATGCAAAATACGCCATTTACAATATTTGGACGAACAAATACTTTCATAACGAATTCTTTGATCCGTAATTCAGATAATTAAACGTAAAAGGCTTCATAAAAAATATTGTTCGTTTTCAAATACTCCATTTCCTTTTGTGATGAACATCGAAGTTACGTGAACATGTGTGACATCGTACACAGGGTAAATAGAATATTACGTGTTTATAATGGTAACGAATGATATCTGACGTATGTCGAATAGAACGCTTCGGTAGAAAAATTCTACAACTCCCTACTGGTTTGGGTAGATCTACGTTAGCACCTTGCGGTTCTGAGTCATTTGCCGAATGCGGGACAGTGTTTCTTTATATTTTCATATTTTGTTTATTGGAATAATATGATACATAGATCAGTGTTGCAGAACTTTTACAAATGTAAACGTTTTTGGCGGTTTAGATTAACCTTATAAATTAACTTAATATTAATCCTAACTACTAAAGCTTAAGGAAGAGGGCTTTATTTATTCTACAGTTTGGACTGGATGTTCAAAAATCCTTGTATCGGTTACCAATTTTTTATTCTTGTGCGGAAATCTGTGATCTGAGCAAGCTTATCATGGGGTAGATGTTCGATTTGGTTGATACATGAAAAGAATTTGATGGTGACGAATGGTATCATGTATGAGATATTTGTTTATGTAGCTGTAAATTGAAAACAAATCACAGGGCCTTTATTGTTCCGAAGTATTTATTTTGGATGGTTTGAACTTTGTTTAAGATAATTTAGCCAGGTAGGGCACGCATGCATCGTAATCGGACGGATGATGCGTTTGTAAACTGGGGCAGCGCGGCGTGCACTGGCCGCGCTGATAAGGGTGCTTGCGTGTGCTTGCAGGCGTCCGTTCAGCGACGGGAGCAGCGGCAGCCACGAGGGAGAGGCTGTGCCAGCTCGGCGCAGGTGAGTGCGTGGAGAAGGCTCAGTAACCGATGGCAAACGACGGCCAATGTACAATGCAGTCGTCGTCAGGAGTTGTTCTGGATATTGCATGCGAGAAAATTACAAAAAAATATAATAAAATAAATAAATTTAAAAAGTATAAAAAACGAGCAGATTTTGTTACGTGTGTGTCATACATCCATTTTATATTCATTTGCAATAAAAAACTTTAAAAATTAAATTATTTTAGTTTCTTTTGTGGCAGTACTACAGTAATAAAGAAATGTTAATATTCCTGTGTCCGATTTTTCTGACTGAGCGCTAACATTATGCGGGCAAATGTTTTTGTCTATTATTTGTTGCCGCACCTTTGCGATTTCGTAGCGCTCAGAAATATCCCCAAAATATTGCTATGTTTTGTGATTGACAGGAGATTACTCGTTTACTTAATTTTCATTTGCGAGGGAACATCTGATTAATGTTCTTCAATGTTACAAAGTTCCCTAACGACCGGAAACACATGTAGTTTCTGGTATTACAGATTAAATTTTTCTGATGTTGTTTTGACACGGATGAAACTATAGCAGTGATGCATATAATTATGCGAATGTGTCATTCATCAAAAAGCTGTCAACATATTTAAACTGATATGTTATTACATAAGTAACTGCACAAAAATCAACGCGCGATCACAATTATATCGCCAATGACGCTTGTGTTTCTCGAATAAAAAAAAATAGTACGAGTGAGGGAAGTCGTAAAGTATGGTTTGCTTTATTTACGAGAAGAAAAGTGATGAATTTAATTTCTTGCGGCATAATCGCTTTCCCGCCCTGGCGCAGGAGGCGCCAGGAGTACAGTGACGAGGACGGGGCCTCGGAGGACACGCCCGATGAGGATACGCAGGAGAGCGACTGCGAGGACGTAGGGACGGTGCCTGACGATGAGGCGGACCCCACCGAGTACCGACGCAGGTGAGGATTCCGTCCGGACGGCTGACTGCGAGGACGAGGGTTTTTGTGTGGTGGAGTGTAAGAGAGTGGTTGTAGCTTGCGTGTTTGTGGGGAACAGTAGTTTAGTGAAATCTCTTGTTTCTTTTTTACTGGACACTATTTTGCGCGTTAAGACAAGGTGTCGAAGATAAAAGTGGTTATTAAAAACAATATTACACTACCCGGAGCTCATACTGAACATTTAAAGTTATTGATCGGCTTTCACAATAAGTATATCAGAATTACATTTCAACCATTACCCCTCGCGCCTTTCCAAAGATTCAATATTTAAAGTTTTGACATTTTCCCATTATGTCAATAAATTTACAATTAAAGAAACATAAAAAGGCAACGCATTTTCTTTTATAATTAAAGTAAATAAAGTAAATTAATTTTAAAACCTTTATCACAAGAAGCGATTTTGTTGCTCTCAAAAATATTCCGAAAAGATCACTTCGTTCTGTGTTGCACGGGGAATTATTCGTTTATTTAATTTTCACCTGTGTGGGAACACCTAATTCAAGTCCTTCGATGCACATCAAGCACACGTAGTTTCTTGAATTACCGCGAAATGCAAAGTTGGCAGCAGATTCATTTTTTGAATTTAAAAATACCGTACGCGCGCCATTATTATCTACATATTTTTGGAATAATTCAAAATTTAGTAATATAAAAAACAAAACAACAATTGCTACATTGAAGAGGCAAAATTCGTTAATTATGTCTCCTTCAATTAACTTTTCAAAGCTTAGGGCATAAATTTACCGGGTTTTTATGGATTTTCAAAACAAAACTAATCTGAAAATTCACTACAAACTTTTCAAATAACATCTACCAAAAATTAGGTTTCTGTCTAGTTTGTATAACAAGGAACACTGAAAATGACCTACGGATGAGTCTGCAGGTCATATTATTCCTTCTTGTGAATACGAGTAGTGAGTAGTTACGGCGAAACTAGCGTATTGAAGGTGTCCTCGCTAATCTTCTTGCCACTCGCTTTCCCGCTGCGGCGCAGGAAGCGCCAGGTGTTCAGTGACGAGGACGGGGCCTCGGAGGACGCGCCCGACGAGGGTACGCAGGAGGCGAGCGCCCTCGGGGACGAAGGGCCGGGGCCCGACGCCGACGGGGCGGACGGCGCCGACGCCACAGAATACCGCCGCAGGTGAGAAACGTCTCCGGACGACCGACAGGGAGGACGGACGCATTTGGATGCGGTGGAGGGCACGAGAGTGATCGTAGTGTGCGTGTTTGCGGTGCGCAGCAGTTTAGTGCAAATCTCTTCATTCGTACTGGACACTGTTTTAAGAGCTAAGGCAATGTGTCGAAGACAAAAGTGGATTATTTAACACAATATTACACTACGCGGAGCTCATACTGAGTATTTACAGTTATTGGTCGGTTTTTACAATAAATATCTCTGAATTTTATCACAACCATTAAACGTCAGAGGTTTTTTATGTTGAATTTTTACAACTCGCGTAAGTCTACATTATTGTTGTTAAAATGTTGAAAATAAATCTTCCAAAATTCTGTAAACACGGAAAAACTTCATATGCAACTCTAATTTATTGCGAATTAAATGCCTTGCAAGTCGATGCATTTCAGGCAAGACAAAAGATACCTGCATCATTCCGAAACGGGTGTATAATTCTTCAAGGTGATTTTTTGGCCATTATGGTAATGGTATCTTTTGTGAAATAATATTTTTAAATAAGCCGAAGGCAAATTTACATAGTATATGTACCTGAGTGACGACATCAATGGAATTAATTTCGGTATATACTCGTATGCAATACGATGCACTGAATTCCACAATGAGCAAGAATTGCAACCATTGCAAAAATTATTTTCTACCAAAACCTGCCCTCTTCTGTCTTCATTCTCTGATCATCCATACGTCGACTGATGATCGCTTTCCGCGTCCAACACAGGAGACGTCAGGTGTTCGAGGACTCGGGCGAGGACGAGAACTCGCAAGAAGACATTCCTGACGAGGATGAGGGTGAGGATGAGGACGGCGGCGACGAGGCGCCGGCGCCTGAGGTCGAGGGCGCACCTGACACCCTCGCCATCGAATATCGTCGCAGGTGAGAGTCCTCACGACGACGAGCAATGAGGACGGACAGCTTTGACTCTGGCGAAGGACGTGAGGACGAACTTATAAGCACGAAACACCTCTGACCAGTCACGAAGACGCTGAAGTTTGTTTTACTACACTGACGGATTAGAACCTTGGGGGAACGAATGGAATACATTATTTATTGAAACGAATTAAGAGATCGGCTCATACTTTATTAGAACCCTGAAGTATTAATAAAGTGAAAACCTGGCTCTGTGATCATACATGAGATAAAATAATGTAAATAAATAAAAAAATGTAAGTTGAAGATTTCATAAAAATACTCTGGTATTAAAAAACAAGATAAATAATTTCCATTAAGTTTTTACAATTGTTCGTCTTTGTATTTCTACTAAAATGGATTTCTGATTACATTCAATTGAATGAGATGCATTTTATTTACATTCTCTTTATTTAACGACTGAACTGGTAAATTTGACGATAAATCTTTAGTTACATTAAACTCATTCACTCGGTTTTTTTTCTATCTTACTGAGTTTAAGAAACTTTGAACTTTGGGCCTGACATTTATTTTGTACATAAAAAACTACTTGAAAAGAATCAAGTCCCACGCGTTGAGTCCAACGATTATCAGACTTCCTTTAATAATTTCATCGAAAAGTGACTGCTGAAAACCGACTATTTGAAGAGGTAGAATGAGCTGAAGAAATATAGATAATTTTTAGTACAAAACTGAAAGTTGAACGACTGTTTACTGACTATACAAAAGATGTACTTAACGAATACTGTACTGATTGCTATATTAACGAAGACTCTTCAGGCAGTACAAATGAGCCAAGTTGCCAAGTGGACCGCCTGTTAGTTGCGCTTCCTCCCCGAGCGGACAGTGACAAGGCCGACCGACCCAGCGCGGCCGCTCGGCGGCGCCACAGTCGCACGCTGCTGGCTGTTCCAGGCGTCGCGGCGTTTAGGTGACGCAGCGCGGACACCTACCTTGAGTGCCGACCAGGATGAGCGGGATGTCTGCAGCACTGCGGAAGTGCGCCATCTTGGTGTAGTAGTTGTAGATGGCGTTGAAGCTCGCCTCGTTCTCCAGGCTGAACACGAAGATGACGGCGTCCACCCAGGCCGTGAACTGCAACGCGAAACAGATACCAAAGACTTAGTGGCCGCGTCGCGCCCGAGGCACAGTGCGGCGGGCCCGCGCTGCGCCAGGGAAGGCCGCATCGGCCCGCGCGCGCTGACACGCCTCCCTGCGCCCCGCGCTGGGCGCCAAATAGGCGCACGCACCCCGCGCTGCCGCCGCTGTTTGCCCGGGAGGTCAGGGGCACCGCCCGCGACCCACTTCCCTCCGACACGGTCGGGTCGATACCCCCCGCCACCCTCCTCTCCGTGTGGTTCCTCCTCCGCCTCCCACCCGCTCCAAAAGGCGGTGGCGCGCGGCGGGCCGCCAGGAGCCGAGGTCCCCGGCACCGCGCCAAGGCGCCCCGCCTCCAACCCCGCGTGTGCGAGAGGCGCTGCGCCGCCGTGCCTCGGCCGGCGGCATGCCGCACGGCGGAGGGCCGGTATGCGGTTGCGGCGCGGCAGGCGCTTGCTCGCAGGCTCAGCGCATTCTCATTCCGAGCCCTAATACATGGGGACAAAGCACTGGGCCAGGACATAGCACGAGAAATTTCTATCGCTAATTAACAGCGAATCGAAAATTAAATATAATTATTAAAATAATATTTGACATACTAATAAAATATCTAAACACCTCAAAGTCATACATCTAGCTGAATGTAACCTTCAGATGTACAATTATATTTTTTTAAAGTGAAGACCTTTTATTTTGACACAAGAGAATGAGAGAGGAAAGTACTAATTATTATTAGTCCTCAGAATCTCTATACAGCTTTTCCCAATCCCAATGTACCCTTCCATCACACGTCTTTTTCGTGTAATACACTCATCCTGGGGAATAGGCCTTCTCTTGCTCTACCCTGATCGATGTGTATACTTCGACGAGGTCGGATAAAGAAATAAAAAGTAAACAGAAACCTTTGTTTGCTCCTGGAAACCTCTGACTTAAAGCTTAATTCAAAAATCCTTACTTCGTTAAGATTTTTGTGATAGAACACAAACTTTTTCGACTTTTAAATTCGTTCCGCTCTTACTTCGGAGGTCCAGATAGACAAAGGAGACTGACCATGGCTGACCTACGCGTCGGCCAACTACAACTGCTCCGTCCAACAAAAAATCAGCCCTCGGTCCCGTGTTCCAGCGAATCCGTCACAGCGCACCAAACTTTCTCGAATGCAACGTCCCGCAGCAGAGGAAGACGAGCGCAGCAGCAGTGCGTCCTAGGCGTTGGTCGCCATGGGGTCGTCACGCCCGCACACGCGCGTCGCCAGCGCGCACCTGAGGCCGCAGCCACCGCGGCGCCGCCCGCCCCGCCCCGCCCGGCGTCGCCGTCCGATGCCGCGCAGCAACGACGTCCATTCGCATCGCACGCGAGCTGCCCGCCTCTCGCGCCGCGCCTACCTGCTCCCCCCGCGCTCGCGCCCTTGCACGCGCACGCGACTCGCGGTGCGCGCTTATGGACCGAACCCTTCATCCCGCGCGCGCCGCCGCCGCCGCCGCCGCTGGAGCTCGCCGGAAGCGTGGCGCCGTCGCCGCGGCGCCGCGGGGGGCGGCGTCCCCCTGGCTGGGGGCGCCCGAGGGCCGCATGGTGACGTCACGACGGACGCGCACGGAGCCGCCCGGGCTTTCGTCCTTGGATATGTGGAGTCGTTACAGTCATATTACGTCGTCGAGCAACTGCATGTTTTAAAAATGTACTATTCTACGGTGTTGAGTCTACGCCAAAAACATTATGGTTGCGTGAGTAGAAGGTGCAAATTTACCACAGAAGTTATCAAGAAGGATTAGCTTCAAAGATTAACAGTCGGCGCCGGCCTGAACGGCCACCAAAGCATTGTAGTGGATTTGAGGTCACGAGGGTTCCCACCCGGCACTTTGGTAAAAAAATGATTTAGATCTACTTAATCACGATAGCGATGATTCAATAAAAAAAAGAATCTGCTTTATTTTTTGTCGGTTTAGTACGTTACTCTAAAGTTTCTTTGAGAAATATATTGCAAGAAGTCGTGAAAAAATAAGAACTTTTCGGCGAAGTAAATAAGAAAGAATAATTGTAAGTTCCCAGCGTTGGAAAGAAGTAGTCGAAATACCGAGGTTGTATTCCAGGTCACAAGCGGTTTAACTCAGGACACGACACATACGGAACTACCATAATCTTCTATACCGTAGTCCATTGAAATACATTACTTCGAAAAATCAGGATAGCGGTATTTTGTCTACAGCATGTAACTGCTACATTTTTGACAAATGAGTTGTATTTCACTTCGTCGTCTCTTTGAGCGAAATTGTGAAATTTTTGCATCATACGAAATTATGAATTCTCCGACTCATTTAAAGCATTGCCTGGCCGTACGGACGTCTGCGATGGAGGTGAAATGAATGCATGAGCAGAGCCAGTCATCACCAAAGTATCGTAGTTGCACGACTGACACATACGGTTCTCATACCTTTCTATATGAAAGAATTAGGTCAATTAAATCGCAGCAGCAATTTCGTCAACAAAATATTTCTGCATTTCTTCATATACAGTGCATCCCCATTCGTCTACTTGTCATTAAGATTGCAATCTCACCATCATTAAGATAAACTAGAAACTAAAAAATTGACAATACGAGGGACTGCTATTCCTAAACAACGAAGAAGTCCTGGAATGATGATTTCGAAGCACGCTGGGAGAAATAATCAGAGCATCACAGCAAACGTGGATCATGGAAATGCTATTCTCGGACAATGCAGGATTTGAACATCAAATTTATTGTATTTAGGACGTATAGCAAATCATGAGACATTAATTCGTATTCAAGCAGAAACTATTTTAAATGTGATAACTTTAACATTCATCTCTTTGCGATTATATTGCGGCTATTACATTATTATGACGTATAAACTCCTCGACAAATGAAACAATGGATTTGGATTGACTGTAAGTTGGGAGCCAGGAAGAGCCGATAGAAAGGGGGAAGGGAATGCGGGCGCCATCCTTGTCGACGACTGTAAATTATCACAACTGATCATGATCAATTTTTAGTACCATTAGGTCACTGTGTATTTTGTTGCTTTTGATTTAAAACTATGGAACCACAATAACGATATACGGTCAGCAAAATGCCGATGATTTAAAGTAGTTTGATTACTTCACTCATTTAATAGTATATTTACCAACTCAAGATTAATACTAATTCGTGCTACAATTTATGTGATATTTTCCTTAATGCTAAGTGTAGAATCCATTATTCATTTTTCAACGCTCTTATCAAGTCTTGCGTTTTCTTTTCGAGAATAACTTTAAAAAGGCGTAAGAAAATTGACTTTTGCCTCACTAGGTGTGCATTATCGAATACTGTTTTCAATATTTGGTAACTAAAAAGCTGTGTCATATGTGATAAATGCATTTTCATTTTGTCACTACATTGCCTCTTCATAATTTATCGCCGCTATTTTTGGGCGTGTACTTAGAAGCATGCTAGTACTTAGAAGTTAAGACACTTTTTATCAAACTTTCACTATTAACACTACAATGCTATTTACACAAGGCAGTTGAAAAAGTTCATTTCCCATAAAAAACTATGATTTATAGGATTGTTTTTCAAGTAAACGAATACATGCACTGTGGAAATAAAATCTCAAATATCAGCCACAATATTATTTTTCCTACCAATAGCCTCGTGGCACACGTCAATACCTTCGAATATATACCTACCATTTTAGAGAGTTATACGTAAAATTCATAGATGGCAGGTTACACTTATAAATGTATGGCAATATTAAGTATTTATGATTATCTTCTTAAATAACAAATAAGGAACAAGAGGGTCTCCCTTTCATTACCCTGAAAGGTACATATTCATCAACTTCTAATAGCAGTATACTTTCGTGCACAACTCGACGTAAATCAGCGAGCTCTGGATTTCAAAAAGGCGGACCATTAGCAAGATTATAGCTTGTTCTGATGTTCCGTGATGTTATGATGGGTGATCATTTAGGTAAAGTGAAAGTTCATCGAAATTACAAATAAAATGCAAAGTCGTAAAAGCGGTTGCAGGTAATAACGATCTCACCATTTCTCCTCCTTCAAGGAAATGAAGAAGCAAGAAGAGATTTTTTTTTCAAATGAATACAGAGCGTAGTAAGTATGAAGATATTATATACGAAATAGTTTTAATTAATAGCAAACATATATTTCGATGTATATTTTCAAATGTTGACCAGGGAGGCAACGGAATGCCAAAGTCATAAATTAAACTTCTCTACAACAGTCACTTATCGCCTCCAAGTTATTTACGCCAGTGAATACTATTTAGTCGTTTTCAGAGGTACAAATTCATGTATTGTATCACCTTCAGTGAATATGCACGTCAATGTAATCAGTAAAGCCTCTCGAATTTCGTACATACACATGGAAGCCAAAAGAGCAAATCGATTTACGAGCTATCATGAAGGAAACACAAAATCATTCTCAAAACGATGCAACACAAACTAAATACAAGTCAACTCAATACTGCCATGAAACTGTTAACAAAGAACTTGCACCGTATAAACTCACAGAAATGTCACAAATTTCATAACCACGGTTATTGTTCAATTAAGAATAAACACACCGAAGAACTAAAACATTTTACCTAGGACAGTGTGTGAAAGTTCGGCGCACTCTAACAATAAGTTTGTTTTATAGTAGGCGTGTTTGGATGGATCTTGAATATTTTTCCTAAGTCAAAGGAAACACACTGTTTAAAAATGTATTATTCCTTAATGGCTGCGTCCATGATCTTGACAAATTGAAGAATATTGGTATTTTTTCAAAACGAATCAAATTTAGGGTTAAGATTTCGGAATTGTAAGAACACAACCCTTTGTATTACCTCTTTTTCAAACGTAAGGATTATTTCAGTATTTTTTTCACTGCTATTTCTTCGATAGTAAAGGAAAGGGAAATAACGAAAAAATGGCATTTAAATAGTACCTTTCAGTAATCAGGTAACAATTGTTCTAGATGTACCAACATGAGGAATGTTGCTCTGTCAGGTATGTTGCGTTTCCTTCTATTACTTGTCCACGACGTAACATAAATGCATTGTTTTCTTTGCACATGTCACCGAGAAAACATTTGTGGTATAAGAACAGTTTAATTTCCAGCACTTGAAGCTACTTTTCCTATTGTTGGTGTAGCATTTGCATGTCTGCGACATAACTTAAGCCAACCGCATAAAACGGGTAGTAGGAAGCTACTTAAAGTAACATGTACGGCTGTTGTTAACACAGATTTCCATTCTCTAACTTTATGTGCCCGCGAAATATCCTAAACACTTAACTGCCCATGCAGTCCTCAGTTGCATAAAACGTTACAGAACGAGGAATGCCCTGTAGTAATATCTGTATAGTTCCC